AAATTACTTACTGCCGGTATTCATCATTTGAGCCTTTGGATTCATCCACTGCTTTTGTGAAAGCAGAGGTGTAGACAAAAATCAAGATGACCCATCCCTTTTCTATCACCTCCACCAGCACAAAGATGTTAATACAACTCTTCTTTAGTTGTCTAATTAGAGTGACATTCATAACAGAAAAATAAAACTGAAGAATACTGAAGTAAGTAAGGAGGGTGGATCACAGCAGTGACAAGATTGCTCTACAGTCACATAATAACTTCTCTTTCATTCTTTTGTTGAATTAAAATTATACAGTGGTGGATCCAATAAATTGAACTTTATTATTGGATACGTGATCCAATGTATTTATGTATTCCCTTGCTTAGGCCACTTACATTCTTTGCTATTATTTTTATTATATATTTTAAGTGTATTACCTACATGAAATTCATCCACATTGGAGAAGGTCGATTCACGGCTGACCGTGACTCCAAAGTCCTACGCACACCGATGGCCAAAGGGCTGCTCACAGTGCGGCTGGGGAGGGCAGCTCCCATCCAGCATACCATTAGCAAAGGGACTCCACGCTGGCTGTGAGCAGCCAGGAAAGGAAGTCTATGAATAGGCAACAGTGCCACCATCGCATGGATCCAGAGCATCCTTGGTGGTTGACATCTGGCTTTGAAGGCTCAATTCAGTAGAGCGCCGGGAAACCACACAGCTATCAGGTTTGCTCAATATATGCAGGTTCCCATTTGCTTTTGTCTTCCCCACCCACCGGTACTCTGAAGAACACTCAAGCTTTGTAAAGAACAAACAGACTCCAATCTTCATCAGCAAAACCGGATCAAGTCTTTGTATCAATGAAATTATAAAATAAACACATTTCACAGCCAGACTGGCAATCGAAAATGGCAAGATGAAAAAGATTTCTGTCTGAAATGGAAGTAAACAAAAGATTCCAAAGTTTGGTGGCGGGATGCTACTGGGCTGTTTGTTGCTGTTTTGCATTAGTCTCAAGTAAAGGAGGGTATTCTTCCTTCAAATTCTATTTTAGCAGTAATCTTGCTTGTAAGATCTTTAACTCCACTGATGAGAGGAAAAATTTTAAGCATAAGAAGAATAGTAATCAAAGCCCAGAATCTGACCATCTGTCCTCCAAAGAACTAAATGGATATCTGCAACAAGCAGTCAGCTTAAAGATTCTTCTAGCAATTAATATATAGGACAAAGAGCAAAGAAAACAGAATAGATGACATGTACATTAATTTAGTTGGTGAGTTCTTGGTATATAAGCAAGCAGATCTCAAAGTTGCTAAATTTTAATTCTCAAGTCAGGTCACTAGATTCTTTTAATAGTTTAGTGTTTGTTATGTTGATAGGGTATCACGAGAAACAACTGTGATACTGAAAATTCTAGCACACTGATTTTATACAAACGTAAGTACTAGCAAATATGTTGCTGGCTTCAGAATAGCAGTAGAAATACTTCTATTTTAAAAGAAAAAAATAACAAATTATCATACATGAAAATTTTTGACCTCTACTGGAAACAAAACTATTATTTTTATTTGCACTGCTTTAGGCAAACAATACTGCTCACTCTTGGCCACTTACAAGTCCTTCAGTTTGGGGAAGCAAGACCTCTAAAGTAGTCTAAAGCCAGCTTGCATCAAGAACCTCTGTTACAAATAAAGTGGTTAAAAACAGATGGTTACAAAACTCAAAATCCTGAAAAATAAAGAGCAGCAAAGAGCAGTTAACACTGCGCAGTTCATTAAGATTCTCATGATAAAGGAAGAAAACTACAGATGACCCATACACCGAAATGCTGATGAATGATCTACTCGCAAACAGCAGGAACCATGGAGGAGCCTGCTGCTCACACTCCCCGCACAGAGAGCAAAGCACTGCACACTGTGAGGTGGTGAGGTTTCAGCTGGCAAGAGTAGAAGAGTTAAGGAAAAAAGAAAGGAGTCACTGTTGGAAGAGTCCCAGTGGTAAATAAAGTAAATCAGGATGCGAACACTGCTGCTGCAATGCACAGTTTGCAGCAGGAGTAGATTTCTGAAGGGGAATGTGAAGGTGGCCCTCCCACTGAGCTATCTAACTGCACCACAGACTCAGCTATCTTTGTCACAAGCCACAAGGGGACATAACCCACAAAGTCAGGAGCCCATGTCACACCAACTTAATAGCAAAAATTAAATATAGAAGTTCAAAAAGTGAGGCTTGTGTTTCTGACAGCAAAGTTAACAAAGCAAGCTTTGGATTTCCCCATTTTTTTTTTTCTGATGGTATGCTATACCTCCTGGTCAGAATCAAGATTTCTTGTTTCTAGTCTTTGACTTTTCTACTTTGAAGTTTTAAGGCAGTTGTTTTGCCTTTGTAAAGCTTTGAATAATAATTTGGAAGATTTTAAAATAATAATTTAGAAGTAAATACTGTGCTGTATTTACTATTCTCTTGTCTGCAGCACAATCACAGCAAAACCCCAGCAAAAAGAAAATTATTGATAAAGAATAACGCCCTCTGCATTTTAACCAGTAACAATGAAAAATAAGTGTAACTCTAAACAACTCTGGTATTTAAAAACAGTTACCTGCTTTTCACAAACCCAAGCTCAGGAGTTAATTTTAATACACCATACCTTAAGTGTGATAGACCTCTGGTCACAGTGAAATCCACCTACTGTGATTTAATCCATCAGCTAAGAAATTTTCCACATAGAAACAAATAGGGAATTATGTCTCCCCAAGTATAAAGGCTCAGTTAAGGTAGAATCAGAATGCAAAAGCTCAGCTGCAAGTGGAATCTGGGACTGGTTCATGTACAAGCTCGTATATTTAGTTACCTTCACAATCGATACTGACAAAACCAGAAAAGGATGCTTAGGCCTCCTCTGTCTGTAAACTTTCAGTCTAATGTAAAGATGCATCTTTATTGAATTACGTGAGCCAGTATAAGCAAGAGCCTAGGTGACTAAATGAAACTGAAGTATACCTCTCAAAAAGTATGGGTGCACGTATGCACACAGATGCATGCCTGTGTAATTAGTTGTGCTCCACAAAACTTCTAGTTCAGGGAGGTCCAGCTGTGGGAATCAGATTTCTGAGCTCACAGCAGAAAGGGCCTATGAAACACCCACAGCCACCTTGTATCTTCCTCACAGCAGCAGGCAGCTTGAGGCTGACCGCTGTTAAGATAGTGACCTTGCAAAAAAAGGTAGAAAGGCTGGAGGCAATGACTACTCCAGGGAAGGGCTATTTCTGTCCCACAATCCAGTGCCAGTCCAACTCTAAATTGGGCTGAAATGTGGCAGAGACATTTTGCTGTTTGAGCAATGGGTTGTATGCATGTTCACAGCATGTCTGTTAGGGCCGTTATATAAATGTAATTCAGTAAAAAGTTGCATGCAGACATGGCCTTTGCTACTGAAGCACCATTCCAGAAGTAGGGTGAGCAACACTGTATGTATTAGGTACTAAGTAAACAGTTGTTCAAGACTTCCTAGCTTTCTAAAACAAATGTTACGACTAAAATGACCGCCTGACTTCACACTTAAAGTAGTATACTTGCAAGAGAAAAATTTTTAAAGGTGCTGACCTCAATGACTTAACATCTCCATATCCTTTTTACAGTGCACCTAGGATCCACATGGAACAGAAAGTATCCCTGCTCTCTCTTCATACTCTCACATTCACCAGGATTATATGTAAAAAAGTGTGACAGAGATAAAGGTAGTATTAAAAAGGATATTGGTTAGGCATCTGCTTGCCCCAGTTAGGCCAACAAAAAGATTTTTAAAAAGTTAGGTTTTCATTACCTCATAAGTAAAAATAGCCACTTAAAAAGATGACCAGTTTCAGCTAAAAATCACATCTTCTACACTGAAATTACAGTAGAGCAAAGCAAAACTGAATCACTAAAACAATGCTGTCTTCATTATATGAAATATTAATTCAAACATCCTTTTTCAAAGAAATCTCATGATTCTGAATGCAACATAGGTGTGAACATCATGACTATAAAAAAATGTCATGGAGCAGATGTTGAAGAAATTTCTTCAATAAAGACACACAAGAAGAGTTAACAGCTGTCAGAGGTTAACTAGAGGACTTCTGGGTTTCCTCACAGTCCTGCTTTTCAAGGATGCTAAGTGACTTCTTTAGACTCCTTTGAAAACTTCTGTCTAAGAGTCAACAGACACTATGGAAGTCAACTGTCTACTTAAAAAAAAAACAAAAAAAAACAAACAAAAAAAAAACCCTCAAGTTTGGCTGTGGAATCACCATTAAGAGACTTAAAAAGTAGTTCTCTAAATATACCTTCTTAATACTCCAATTCAACCAGCTTGCATCCTAGCTTTACTCTGCTGAACAGCTGAACTACTGAACACAGCATTACCATTCTTTTACCGTCATGATCTGTCTTTCTGCCTTTCATCCTGATAACATTAAGTGTTTAAGTAATTATCTTCAAATATTTGTAAGAACTAGTTTTTACACATGCATCTGAAGTGACCTAGGCACATCTTGAAACACTGGCATTTTACTATGACCACATACAGTTCTACCACTGAGGTGCTGAATAATTCCATTCCAGTATGATTACTCAATTCACCTTGTTTGGTTCTTTGATTCATTTTTTTAATACTAACCTAAACTAATGTAATTTCTGTTGACATTGCACTTATTTTCTTGCTCTCATATATCTAAAATGGAGTGTAAGACCTTACTTCTAAACAAGACACTAAACAGGGTCATTAATTAGAAAACTAATTTAATAAACAAGTAGATACAGAAATGTTCCACAAGCATGAGCAGAGAAAAATCTTTGTACACTAGCACTATTTAATTAACATAGAGAGTCTCACTTTGTAATTCACTATGCAATGCCTGAAGACAAAATAAACATCTATGTATAGTCACTGAACAGACAGAGAATTTTAGTAGGTGCCAAGGATAATATACATTGACTCAATACTTCAAATTTCTTCAAAAACGAGCAGAACTTACAGAAAATGATGAGCCATCCTTTGAAACTGTGACTGGGTAAACTCCATCTCCTAGATGCACAGAGAGCTCCCAGCTACTTCGCTTTGATTTAGCAATAGGGATTCTAAAAAAGAAACAGACAGGAGAATTTTTAACAGAGATTTCATGCTTCTCCCATTTTAACCAGAAGCACTTGCCTCATAGGATGGTCACGAAGGATATAAAATATCATTAATCTATAGACACAGTTGGAGAGTGTACTAAAAAAAAAAAAAAAAAAAAAACCTAAATACATTTTTCTGTCAAATGGCATATAAGGAGAAAATACACTTTATTTCCTTTCTAGATTTGCCTTGACACACTGGGTGCACTGATAAAGTTATAGGAGGCTCTTGAATACAGCCAGTGCTTGCTGCAGAATTAGCTCAAACACGATGAAAAGCAGATGAGAAAGTGGGTTGGCAGGAGAATAGTAACAGCGATAGCTGAAGCATTCTTTGTAAGGGCAAAATATAATCACTATTTCTTTCATCTCATTCTCAGTAAACCTTAATTAAAGGCCAATCACAGACAAAAGATTCAGCCAAACATGTAATACAAGTAATTTTATAATTAATATACATTTTAGAGTATCTCATCCACAGAGCCCTTCAAGCAAAGTGAAAAAATAATGATGCATCATCACAGCCCACATGCAGGATTACACCTATTCCTGCAGCATTCAGTGGCTGCACCGGTTACCGGATAATACAAGAAACATGAATCTTTTCAACTTTTGCTCAAAGAAGCACACCTGACAGCAAAGGAATAGGACCTGAATCTCCATTCTTGGAAGTTCAGAGTGAAACAGGTAATTTTCAGCTAATTTTATTTAAATGTATATGCAATTTCAGTTTCCTCATCCTAGCTTTCACTTCATTGTAACAACTGCTGTCCAAAGGTATGCTACAGCTTTTCTGATGAGTGGCTGCCATATATCAGCATTAGGAAGCACCACATAGCCTAAAGAGTAGGTACAAAGGTGGAGCTTAAACTCCATTAAAACAGACACACATTATTTTGGTATAGCTTTTCTTTCACACTGACTTTTACACATTTAGATTCTCTGTAAGAAATTTACGGAGATAATAAATTCATCACCTTTAGGTCTCTTTTTAAGGATAAATTCTGCTATAATGCTCATATATTTTACATTATAGGGTTTACTACACCATTTTCCTTCAGAGCCTTAAAACTTGGAGGCATCTTTCTGTGTTTTGCCACACGCATCCTCCTGAGGATCCAGGTGCCCAGTGAACCACAACTCCTCAAAGGGATTGCTCAGGTTCCCTGTAGAATCAACAGGGAGAAGCACCCGTGAGGCCTCCAGAGGCCACAGGAGGAGAAATTATCTTCCTAAACCAGGGATAACACACTGACTGGCTCAGGATTTTGACAACTGTTTTAATAAAGTTGGATTTTTAGACACCCGAAACCTAAGCGAGTACAAGTTCTGGTACCTAATTAGGCAACGAGTTTCCAAAAATTGTTCCTTGCAACATGCCTGAAAACGGGAAATGGAAACACTTCATATATTAGCTTGACAAATAGATGCATAGTTACCATTAGTTACTTCTGGATCCAAGCCAAGTAAGGCCTACAATCAGATTTCACCAAACATCTTAGTTCATCTCTAACTACCACTACCCACAAAGTTCATGAAAACAGATAGTGAAAATAACATGCTCCCATGAAGCCACGTGTTACCTTTCACATTTAATACACAGCGACAATTGTCAAAACAACAAATTATTGGGTGCAATGACATTTCTCAGCACCTCATCTTGGAATTCCTGCGTGTCACCAAAACATTTAGACTGGCTGATAGGAAACGCGACAGACACGGGAGTTCCTGAAGAAGAGGAACAGGAATTTCCTGCACAGGTAGCAGGCAGCAAGCTGAGAGATGTTGTCACTGAGCTTCCTGGTATCAGAGCTCCAGTAAGGAGGAACGTAGCAGGGTTTTGGCAGAGCCTCGATAAATTCTCCATGGTACTCCACTGCAATAACCAACAGGATTTAGTGTTTTATAGCGACTTCATATTTCTTGTGTAAGAGGTAAGACCTCATCTTAAACACTGCTTAGTAGATCCGCTTCACTGGTGGCATGAGACTCCTTATACCCTTGCTGGCACGGCCTTGCGTCGTATTGCATTTGACTGGAAGTGACCTCATGAATCTGGCTGCTGGCCATCAAAGGAAAGACAGTCTTGTTCTCCAGCAGGGATTATTTTTGTTCGGTCCTGTCTTGCTGAGCTTTGTCAAGTGTATCTCCAAACAGGATGCATGCCTCTTGAAAGGCATGACTATGATCACTGCTTTGCCTGGGTTTCAAACAGCCACACAGGCATATAATTCCTCTCTCTGCAACACTGGTGGTCAGGAGGGCAAGGTCCAGAGCTGCATCTAATACCAATAATGCGGCAAGTCGTACTTCCCTCCTGGAATTGCTACATCCATTTGCACAGGGACATTTTTCAGCTTTGCTAATCAAATGCCTGTGGCTTTGTAAGTGTAATCTACAGTTACATTGGCTAAGGCAGATATTTACATTAGCTCACAAGAATCCTACTTTCCCTTCATTAGATTAAATTCTTTTCAAATAAATTATCTTACACTAGACTTCATTTTCATAGGATTCAGAGGGGGTTGGGGTTTTTCATATTAGTAAGAATCAAAGTCCAAAAGTAAGGACCAAAGTCCAAGTTTCTTGGATATGGAAAGGAAGTTACTCAAGTCTGTGAACTACTGTAGAAATGCAGAAGTTTCTATCAGGTTAAGAAAAGGGCTTTTTGGTGGGATTTTTTGTTGTTGTTTGGGGAGGGATAATGTCTGAGAAGTCCCAGTGCATAGCAAATAATCTTTGTTTTTGGCCAAGGTTGCTTCCTTAGCTGAGAACTGTTCTAAGTCCTCTAAAGGGAAAACATCTGGACTTTTAAATATATTTTCCACTAGTTCGTAGAAAAGTCGCCAAATTTCTGGCTATTTTCAAAATTTTACAACTTTTAAAATTCTACATACTGGGCTGAGAGCTGACATATTCTATCTACAGGGAAAAAAAAAAAAAACAAACAAACAAACAAACAAAAAAAACACCTGAACAAAAAAATGTCATTTTTACCATCATAAAAGACACAAAAAACCTACGGCACTTCCTCTTCAACCCTAGATTCAAAATCTACACAATGTCTTTCACAGGGTTCAACATGCCCTCCCTTTCTTCTCCCAGTTTTGGTAAATGGCGTATCATTAAAAAAAATTACTTTCTTTACATACAAAGATCATTGAAGGAAGAAATGCAAGTTTAGCAGCAAAATGAGTGCCAGGTGAATGGGAAGCAGGGCCACATTGTCCCTTGCCACGAGTATTACACACAAAGAGAAGGAGAGCGCACAGGCAGCACCATGGCTGCAACAACAGGAGGTGGGTGGAGCAGGGTCTTACGAACTTCCTTCCGTACAGAAATGGGCAGTTCTGAACCTCTCTACTCCATATTGCCTTCTAAAGAGAAGTATCGTGAGCAGTGGGGGCACAGATGAAGAGTACGGTGATGGCCCCTGCTCTAAGTCACAGAGGTATTACTCTAAGGCACTGAAATTACAAAAACACGTAAACGGCGCGAGAAGAAAAACAGCAGTGTTTCCCTGCTCAGCTATTTATTTATTTTCAACCTCTGTCACTGTTTGTTCAACTACAGATGATGTCATGGTCCCATAATTTATTTCATACATTGCACAGTGTATTATGTCCCTTTTACCCCCAACTGCCATGAGAGAGAAGAAGATACTTTATAATAATGCAGCAATTATAGCCCCTGCTTTCTTTGCAAGTTTTCAGTGAGGAAAGCAGACAACTGCTAAAAATTTTAGATTGACGCACACTTACTGTGCTCATGGAATACAGACACTAGTTAAACTATTATCTATTCTAGTCAAAAACAAATAACGAAAGAAAACAGACATTCACAAAAGCAAGTCAAGTAATAATTCTGCACCAGCCTGTCCATTTTGATTGTCATCAACCAATCAGATAGAAGGAACTCAATAAAACTACAATTTTCTGCAGTTTGTTGCAAATAAAATCCCCTCTCCCAATTACTGTTGATGATGTAATGAGCTATGATAAATGTCACCAGCTCCTAAAGGGTCAGGAAATTGAGTATAGATTTTTTTTTACTTCCACTTCAAAATGTGAGTTCTAACACTGGGGGATGGGAGGGGGGGGGACACCTTACAAATTCTCTTTACTTCTGATATTTTTGCTGCATAATACTTTACGTAAACACAGAGAAATCCCAAACTATCATAACAAATTCTCCCATTATGAAAGATTATAAGCATTTGAAAACTACATTATATGACACTCTGTAAAGCTGTTTTTCAATTGTGCAATTACCTATTCAGCAGTTAAATAAAAGTGAAATATTGACTTAAAACAATGTTAATGGTCAAAGAATCATTAAGAAATCCTTCATCATAACTTTCACAGCAGGTAGCCTGTAAAATGATCAAGAATAATGTGCTGGATTCTGTAGCCACCAAGGTCAGTTTCTGCATACAAATCTTTGCAGGGGGAGAAAAAAAGACCTTCAGAAAGTGGGCCATTCATCTGAACCAAGTTCAGAGAATTTCCAGCACTGTGAAAAGATATGTTATGCAAGCACATAGATGTATTCAGTGGGGGTAGACTGAACCAGCTACATGGAGACTACAAAGGAGCCCTCCCATGGCTCATGAATAAGTCGAGGAAATGATCAGAAAAAAAATGGAGAGATGTTTAGACAGATGGCCCACTTAAAATGCCTGGGACAGGGCATAAGCAATTTTAATGAAACTTTAGATCTACCATATAAATTGTTTCTTATTTTCTCTGCCCTCCCCCCCAAAAAACTCAAGAAAGGCAAATAGAAATTTAACAACTCAAACAAGAGCCTATCTTAACATGTTAAAAAAAAAAAAAAAAGGGGGAAGTAAATCTCACACTTTTGAGCATTATTGGTTTAATAAGTTCATATACAAAGAAATATCCTTCACAGAACCTTCAACTATCAGATGAATATAAAAGCAGGGAATGGATAGATTAAAA